CTTAGACGCACTCGTCGCGTCACACGGGTCACTGAATTTCATAAGCACTGTAAGCACACCCTTTGGCTGCTATACTGCCATACTATACAAAGCTGAAAGATGCTGAAAGCTTGCGGAAACAACTTTCATAGAGCAGCTGACTGACAGCTTGGTGAACCAATCTCTGAGTAGTCTCTTCCTCAAGAGGTCTCAAAAATCATCAAAATCTGTGAGAATCTCGATTGCCGTCAGAGAGGCATCGCTCCCTTTCAGGCACGGCCTGCTTCAGAAATGTCTGCGCTGTCGATGGCCGTTGAGACTTCAGCAGACTCTTCAGATGTCATGCCTTGCCCAGCCTTGAGGCCTTCCTTGCTGGAAGGATCATGGCCGCACACCTTCTTGCCATAGACAGCCACTTTCAGGATAGCCCAGTAGCTGACCATTGAATACATCACCAAACTAGGCCACATCAAAATCCAGTCTTTGAGGTTCTGGCAAAAGCCGGTATCCTCAGCACCCTGCGGCTTCATCTTCAAGTGGTAAATGAGTTTGCACCCTTCCCGGTCAAGGTAGAAGAAAATCAAGAAGACTAGGTAGGTCCAAGCAAGGCTGGAAAAGCCTGCAATCATCACGCCAGTGTTGGCTGCATCATCCAAAGGCAGCTGGCCAGTCATTTGGCCCATGCGATCAATGGTGTCATGTTTGGCATTGATCAAGGCGTAGTTGATGAAGCCTGCAAGTCCAGTCAGCGTCAGGGAGCACAAAATGAAACCATAGTAGATCACAAACCAAGTGCCGTAAGACAGGGCTGCAGAGCAGTTGTAACGCCTTCGCTTCACCACAAAGTAGTGGAAAACCTCGCAAGCACCAATGGTCCACCGTTCACTCTGACGGAACCATTCGCTGAACTCTTCCCATTGGCTCGTGCCTGAGGTTGGACCAGAAATCACAGGCATAGGAATCATGAGGATCTCAACTCGCTTCTGCAATGCTTGCATGCAGGTCAGGGTGTAGATGATGTCATCCATCTGATAGTGCGCATGGAAGAACTCGCCCTTAATGCAGAGATCCAGAGAAAAGCTGAAGATGGACATGGTGTTGATGTTGAAAGGGATCAAGAATCCCAACATGTAAGCTGCACGCATGATACCAATTGCACGAACGTAGAAGGGCCGCTCATTCAAGAAGTGATTGTAGTAGAGCGGTGCCTGCCAAACAACCTCTTTGGCTTTTGGGGAGGTAAGGAACTGGTAACCCAGGTTCTCAAAGTAGCGTGGTGCAAAGATGGAGTCCGTGTCACAACTCGTGGCTGTGGTGCAACTGAGATCTAAGTCACCGTACTCTTCCAAGCGGGTGACCGCAGCACGCATGGTGTAGTTTGCATTTGAGCATTTGCCTCGGATCTCACGACCTCCAGCCCACTGCTTGGGATGCTTGGTCACATGGAATCGCTTGAAGGATCTGGCATAGCGCTCTTTCAACCTTGCAGCTTTCTCAGCCACATCAGGGGTCCCCTCCTCCAAGCCAATCACCACAATCAGGCGGTGAGCCGCCGTCTGGGCTGCGAGTGAATCGATGGATTGGCAAATCACTTCCATGGGCTCCTTGTAGCCGCACATCATCACCAGGTGTTGCAGGTTGTCTGCCAAACGCCTCTCCTCTTCCGTGTTTCTGGGGATCTTGTCCTCCCAAGTCTCATCCACCACCCTCTTCATCAGAAAGTTGGCCTGCAGAGAACGCAAAGCACAAACTGTCAACAGGAATGCTCCCAGCCATCCGACAAAGAGGCCATAGATGGCGGCAAAAATGGGGCAAAAGATGTCGATCCACAGTGGGAGTGGAATGATGATGAAGTCAAACACCAAGAACAAGAGATTCCATCTCATGATGATGAATTCCTTCTCCTTCACATTCTGCTGCTTTTCATCCACAGCATATTGTCCCCTTGGAGCAGTGGTAAAGATCCTCTGCCACCAACTGGGCTGCTTCTGTGCTTGCGGCTGAGCCATGGTTCACCAACAGGTTCCTACTGCTCTAGAAAGCTTTGTGCTGTAGAGCCAAGGGCAGAAAACTAGTGAAACAAGCTGCAAACAGGCCCCAGCCAATTGCAAGATGCCGCCATCTTGGCGAGACCGATGGAGGAAATCAGTGAACATGAGAATGAAACATAATGAATCCGAATGAATCACAATGAATCATAATGAATCCCTGCTCCACAACCCAATGAAAAAAAAACAAGCTGCGCACGTCATCTTGCTGCCTTGGACAATTTCCTGTGGCGCTGCTCCCTTTGGGCATCCTCACTGCAGCTTGAAGTAAGCGCGGAGCAATTCACAGCCTCAGCGTCGCGCAGCGTCGCTCAGCGTCGCTCAGCACAGTCAAACCCTTTGGATCCCTTTGGTCTCCCATAAGCTAGCTATGTTGGAGCTCAGGGACAAGAAAAAACAGCTCTGTTTCCGAAACACCAAGCCTCCCAACAAATCCAAACATGCCCTGCTCGCTTGGCTCGCTCCTTGGGACACAGCGCGCAATGAGACAAAAGTCCCCAGCGGGTTCGATCTGTTAGGCTGAAAAATAGCTGTTGGCATCCCAGGAGCGATGCTATGCGATGCTGCTGGTCAAAAAAAAACTCTGGGAAGTGATGTCTTCCTAGCAGCTAGCAGCAGCTAGCCATTAGTGTTCTGATTGCTTGAAGTCATTTCTCTCACACTGCCACAGCCACAGAAACCCACTCCTTGTTCAACGTGTTGAAGAATTTCCTGTAGAGCGCCACCAACCTGAAAAGAACAGCATGGGCCCGGACTTGGTGCTGTATGGTGATGTAAGTCTTGGAATGTCTTGGGGGCACATGCCACCAAAAACACTTTGAGCTTTAAGCAATTTCTGTCCCCAAGCGAAAAAAAAGGCTCGGAGCATGTCCCTTTCCTCAGGCCCAACTGCTTCAAATAGGCATTGTTTTCCTGGTGCTGGCGCTCAGCCCGCTCGGATTTCTTGGCCTCAAACATGTCAAGCTGCCGCTGTTGGGACGTCATGCTGCAAGGAGATACTTTATGAAAATGGCAATTTCAGCGCAGCTTTTTGTTCTAGGAAAATATTGATTATATATTGCATTATATTGCTATATATTCATTTGTGCAAACAAGCCTTTGCACCGCATGTCAGCACATGCACTTATTCGGCAAAAATTACCACAAAGGACTGTGCGAAACAAAAAAGGAGCGCCCGACCATCCTTGTATGGCGTGGGCCGAAATATGACAGGTACAAAGATGTACAAAGGACAGGCACTGAATACCATAGAGTGGCCATGAGGTCGTGGGAAGTGCCCATTCCTTTTGCATCTGTGAAAGTATGGTACAGTCATTCCCTCTGTACCCATTAAGATGGCCACATCAATTGCCATGGTGCCTGAATCCCCTGGAAGATGGTTCAAAATCCACTACGCCTGGTCCAGTTGGTTGGCAGCTTTGCGCGCCACTGCGGTGAACTGGAGCATAAGGGGCCTTGGAAATTTGTCGAGACCAAAAGAACGGATGTGTGTGTGTGTGTGCTATACACGTTGAAGCGTATGCTTATTTTTCTGTATACCTAATGTTTAAATCATAAATATTGGATGCATTGGATGTATCTGTTTCATTCTGTTTCTAGATTTTCTAGGATCTCATCCCAATCCCAGGCCAGGGATGGACCACCAAAGGGAACAAATGCCATGCACTGAGGGCATCACATCATCCAAAGCCCACTGCCCTCAGCCTCGACATACCTGTGGACCTTGGCCATGGGGCCGTGGGGCCGTGGGGCCATGGGGCCATGGGGCCATGCCACAGGTCGTGCACTGATGTGCTTAGGCTATACGGTGGCTGTACATGGTACACAGCATGGCGAAAGATCATTGAAGCCATTGACATCGGCATCTGAGATGGAGGCCCAACTTTTCAGACAGGTGCAGACCTGACAGCAGGTGAGCACCAAGCAGGAGCACTTCTGAAAGATCCCACGCAACATGTCGGTTGATGTCTGTTACTTCCTTGGCGATTGTTCACTTTAGTTTTTGCGCAGTCTGTTGATGCCAGAAAGGTTCATCCATTCATCTCATGAACGGGATGTGTCCACAAAATATCAAACAGGGTCAGAATATCCGACAAGTGACCAGTTCCAAATGTCGCACAGCTTCACCTCAGCACTGCGAGGGGAAGCCGGTCATGATCCTGGTTGGTTTCATCTGGGCTTTGTTTGGGATATGTGCAGCGGTACCCACTGGGTGCCCACGCGGATTAATCTAGTCAATCTGGGGTTGCGAATCGTACTATGGCCACAGCGAACCTGTCCCAGTCACAAGCGATGGTCCTGGTTGAGTTTCCCAACTGCGGACATGGGCTTGGAGACTCAGCAAGTAGAGAGAGAGGACCTGAAACCGGGAAGTACATCAGAAGTGATCAAATTCTGGCAGGTTGGTCTGGCTGAAAACACAAATTTTCTGTCAAACGTATTGCCCCAAGATTTGCCTAGGCCTTCCCAACATCCTCTACAAGATTCACCAGCTGCATCAACGCAGTCCACATCGGGTTTTGGTTCAAAATGGATCACTTGGCACCTCGTGGCTCTCACCAGCATACTTCTTGGCGAGCTCCTGGAGTTTGGTACAGAAAGTGTAGAGTTTGACAGCAAGCGAGCTCTCCACCTGTCATTAGTAAGGGCAGTAGGGACTAGCTCTAAGTGAACTGAAACTTCAAGAAGAGAGATTTTATATAGAATAGAATTGAATTGACTTGAATTGGCTTGAATTGACTTGAAGTAGAATAGAATTAGAATTATATAGAATAGAATTAGAATAGAATTAAAACAGAATTAGAATAGAACTAGAATAGAATTAGAATAGAATAGAATTGAACGGAGAATATGCAACTCGCTATTTTAGCAGCGGTGTTCTTGAGCCAAAGGTTGGCGTAGCAACTAGTGAGAACCCTATATCCCGTCACCCCTCCTGTACAGAGGCTGGGATTTTCCTAAGCTGATGTACACTCATTCCAAAGCCTTTGCAGCTTCGGCTCTACCATGAGAGTACTCGAACCCCATGCTTTGCATGTGTCTTTCCATCTCATTCGCAGGTAAACCTTTGGTGCACAAATCAGCTACGTTCTGCTTTGTCGGGATCTTCACCAGTTCGAATTCATGTAGTGCAAGCTTTTCTTGCACCCACAGAAAGCGAGTTTGAACATGCCGTGAGCGGCCTAAGCCCTGACGGTTACATGTTCCCAGCGCAGCGGATGAATCTGTGTGCACTTTAAGTTTTGGTTGTAGGCCCCATCCTCGCAAGATCTCCTGTAGCGACATTCCGATGGAAACTCCTCGAACGATCGAGTAGTATTCCGCTTCACTGGAACTCAAGCTGATCGTGCTCTGAAGAGTGCTCGAGGCCTTCACCGTGTGGCGGCCAAAGGTTGCCACAAGTCCACTTGTTGAGCGCCTTGTAAGAAGACACCCAGCGAAGTCGGAGTCCACGTACATGTGGATCGTGTCAGCAAACTTCTGGCGACCAAACTTCAAAAGTACACGTGGTTTCCCTTTCAGAAATCTCACCAAGCGTTTCAGATCCTGAAAGTCAGATTCTTTGGGCTCATGCATTCTTCTTGATAGGCATTTCACTGCCTCCGCGATGTCAGGTCTGTCCTGTGCCACATACGACGCTCTCATTACCAGAGACCGGAAGAAACTTACACGGTCCGGTGTGATGGTCGGGGTGGTCAACTTCAAGTTGGCCTCCGTGGCTGACATTTTCTCAGATGGTGTCTTGACTGGCTTACAGTTTTCCATTTCTAGATCTCGTACCATCTGGTCAACGTGGCGGGGATCCGCCTCATAGGATACAGAGCCTTCCTGCTCGTTGTAGGTCACGATTCGATTGAGCACTGCGAACTGCTGATGCCGTTCTCCAGGACCGATCGATCCATCGACCCGCAGATCATATTTGGACCTCAAGGTGTCCTCAAGGTATTTCTGTCCAGCATCATCAGCAAGCACCACGAAGTCATCTCCGTGTACAAGAACTCGAATACCACCGTAACCTTCATGGTAAAAGCAGGATGGCCAAGCTTGATTCTTGGCAAAACCAGCTCGGATGAGAAGTTCTGTATATGATCTTTGCCAGATCGCTGATGCATCGCGTGTTCCATACATGCTCTTAACGAGCTTGCCACAAAACCCTTCTTGTTGATCTCCTTCAGGTAACTGCACGAAGATATCACGCTCTGCCTCTCCATAGAAGTGAGCGCGTGATATGTCAAGAAGACGAACTTTCAGTGCATTGCCAGACTTGGATCGTCTCAAAGTCACCATAAGCGATAGAAGCAATTTCAGCGATTCCAAAGGCGGCATCGAACTGAAGGACGCATAGTCCGGAGTGAAGTCAGCATTGCTGGCCCGTTTGATCTCTCTACAGACCAGACGTGACCTGTAGTTGGGGTGTGTTGCATCCCCTTTGTTTCTGTCAATCCATTTCATGGTGATGACCGGTTTTCCAGACTGTTGGGCTTCTGTGAGTGGAACTTTGATATAGATTCCCTGTTTGTGTACCCATGCTAGTTCTTCTTGTCGAGCAGCTCTGACCTTGTCAACATCCAAGACAGCACCGGAGTGTGCGTCAAGCACTGGCTCCACGATGGTGTCATCGCTGTCGGGCAGCTGCTTCCAAAACTCCTCCTCTTCATTGATCACAGGTCCAGCATCGGGTACTGGGCCATGTGAAAGTGAGTGTAGTTCTCCATCACATTCCAGTTGGCGCCTAATGGCCTTGAGAATTGCGTGGACAAGCTTTGGTGGGTATTTCTGGGCAGCTCAGGCTCGTCCATCAACAAGATGTACATGGCGGTGCCAAACTTTGCCTTCTTTGTTTGAACAGCACCCTTGTAGGGTCTGTGCCAGGATTGGAGAGTTCGTGAGCCAGGTAGTTTCTTTCTTCACTAACCCTTCACCTTGGCCATCGGCGGCCTTCATTCCCCAACGGCACATTGGTCCAGTGACTTCATACACCCGTTCATCTGCCCTCAGTCTCTTCACAGCTCTCTCTTCCCACGAAGCGGCCCCTTTAGGGTGCTCATGGTAGAAGTACCTTCCAGCATTCATTTGATGCTCATACGCTGAAACTGCCGTGCGCAGATGTTTGCGACCATCTTTTAGTCTCTGCGCTCGAACTTCAGGTGAAACATTGCCCTTCGCATCCACAATGTTTTGCAGCTTCGAGAATGGCCCACAGGGAGGTGAGCCGCCGAGGAACTCTGGTTTCTCATAGTCAAGCAGTTGAAACAGATCACGAATGTGTTCATCTTTACTCAAGTCCCAGTGAGTTCCATCACCACGCTTTGTCTCCAAGTCAATCGAGAAGCCAGGTGCTAGCCCGACCACTTGGGCTTGTGCAGCCACACGCGGTGGAGAGAAGATCTCAGCAACCTTCCCTTTTGCGATCACATCTTTGAGCAAGGAACACAGATGTAGCATCTCCTGGTTTGTCTCAGGACTTGTTGGTGCAGCGGCAGCACCTTCCGGAACACCAGATGAAGCA